GTTACCACAGCTTCTTACGATAAAGTGGCAATTATTTTGAAATATTTCCCCAAATAAGCTCAGGAAAAAATAAAATTAATTTTGCAAAATTTCGGTTTTTTCCGGATATCTTTGAAAGTGTTCGGAATTTTTCTAATGCCAAAATACCATTTTATTGAGCATAATTGCGCAACTTTTTCCTAATCTAACCAATATTGTAACTCCAACCGTTCCCCAGATCCTAATGCTATCTCATCCTTATCTTGGACACACTGTATAATGTGTTTCCGCACAATTTTGCTCCTGCCGAAGCCAGGTCCCATCAAATGACTGGCAGGATATATTTTTTAGTAATCGTAATTATTAGTGAAATGCTACAAAAAAAAAGCGCTTTCAACTTTTTTTTTCTTTTCTTTCCGTACCTAGTTTTCAAGCGAGCAAGTGGGTTTTCCGAAAAGTGTTTTTACGAGGAACCGTTTCTCTCAACGAATCCATTTCCAAAAGCCCACATTTTCAAAAGCACACCATTTTCGTGGAGTGTGCCATAGAGCCTTTTTTTGAAGGGATTCCTAGAGGAATCAAGTCCCTCACGTATTAACTGCCGTAATATCTCCACATTTGACAACTGAGAACTTCTAGCCTCTATCTACCTTGATTCAACTGAACTGAAGTCAAGGTGGGACAACATGTTCTAAATTTAAAATTATTGAGAAAGTCTACATCATCGAAAATTGATCAACTTTTAACTTGGGTCCTGTACTTATACAGGGTGTATATTTTAGGTGATACCACTATTGCTATATGCGAAACGGTGAGAGCTACAAGGTCGGTTAAATTAGAAAAAAGTTGCCTTTTTTGACGCCTATTTAAGACTCTTTTACAGTGTTGCCAAATTCCTTTTAGTTTATTAAATACAGGTTCATAACTTGGGCCGAATTAAGGTAAGATTTTGGTAAAAATCACTTTTTATCACTTTTTGGAGCAGAAACGTCGGTCAATCATACTTAAGAGGCATATCATCAGGAAGGGAATAAAAAGCGCTTTCTTAAAATGGCATAAAAAATCCAGGTCCGTATTTAAAAAAATAAAGTTGATGATGGTAGCTCGACCACGAAACGTCTGATTCAAAATTTGAAGATGCCATCTTGTGTAGCGAAAAAAATTTAAAAACTTTCAAATTCAAATTGTGTCTCCAAAATCAATAGTTTTCGATTTAATTCATGAAATATTTTTAGGCGTTTCTTAGAAATCAGCCTGTATTTCATAAACGAAAAGGAATTTGGCAACACTGTAAGCAAGCCTTGAATGGGCATCAAAAAAGGCAACTTTTTTCTAATTTAACCGACCTTGTAGCTCTTACCGTTTCGGATATAGCAATAGTGGTATCACTTAAAATATACACCCTGTATATTTGAGGGTTTCTATTATATCTCCTAACCATTTAGACCAACTTTCGATACCATACAGGTGCAAGTTGATTTTATTGAATTTATTCTTTAAGCAGAAGCTGACCATATTTATCAATACAATTTTCATTCATTCATTTTTTTTTACTTAGTTTTCTGGAAACCCACATCTTCTATATTTATTTTCATTTCCTGATAATGATATGGCCAGCGACTGCTGCATGAACTTATATGGCAAGTAATTTTATGTTTGAAAATTATTCAATACTTGACTTTTAACCTTACTGTGAAAATATATATAGTCCAACACATACCATTTTAAAGTCACGTGATTTTTCTCTATCCTTGTTGAATACATCTCAAACAGCCGTGATAGTAAAATTGACAAAAAAATTGCTGTTTAATGATTGTTCATAAAATTTTTACCTGAAATAGAATCCGTCACTGTCATCAATTAGTTTGTCAAAGTTATTTTAGAAAATGATATCGGGTCTTCAAAAAAAAACCAATCAAAGATTGCTATGGTTTTTTAAACGTACGTCTTAGCAATATTTTTCTTTAATTTTGACAATGTCAGTCAATGAAATTTAATGTCAAAATGTCATGTCAAAAATTCTGGCCAATAAAGAAACAATAATCCGACGTACGTTTTCGTAACCAAAGCAATCTTTGTTTTTTTTTTTTGAAGACCCGATACAACGAACAAACACAGGTAATAATTTTGACTATATTAACCTTTTTCCAACTCAAAAAGATGCAAATAGAAAACGGGTACCCAATTCAAGTTCAGAATGTATTACAAGGGGCAGCAGAAGCGACAAAAGTGAGTCTCGCAACAATTGCAAGTATTAAAATTCTCATCTGATTGGTCAATACTACTTCAGAAACGCGTTTGTAAAATGCTAGTGGGAACATATCTTAAAATTCAATAGTAATTAACCACAAGTAGCTTTTTGTAGCTGATATCAACGACATAATCAACGAACATACGTTTTTTGCCACCAATATCACGTGACTTTAAAATGGTATTTGTCGGACTTTACTACACAACAGATTTCTAACTACACTCATCAAAATAGTCTAGGGAACAAGAAATATCTGTCTTTCAATTTTAGGAAAGAACAACTTTTTAAAAAAGATAAAGTGAGTATTATTTATTAAACAAATCTTGTCAAATTTACCATGTCGTCTTTTTGTTGCAAACTTATTTAGTTTAAATAATTTAAAAATAAAATCAGCAAAAATATCTGATAAGTATTATAGGAATTATCTTGTTCCCTAGACTATTTTGATGTGTGTATTTTGATTCCAAAATTGCTTGAATGTTTTATAGCTGAGTCAATCTGGGGGGTCAGGGTGCAACAAATTAGCAACAAGCTGATTCCAGCGGGAATGTTTAGTAAGTGACCTCTTATTTAACCTCCTAAAAGTCCCATTCAGTCTTAGGGGTGGAAGGTTGCAAAAAATGGCCGCCATCTTGGATTTTTTTGTTTTTTTCAAATATCTCAGTTTCTATTAGTTTTCTCAAGAAAACTCAAGAAACCTTTTTTGTGAAAAATTTTATTCTCTATAAAAAGTGTCTGTACTTTTTTTTTGTAACATAAAGGATAACGAAGATACAGAGCTTTTTATAGTAAATATTTCAAACATTTCTTTACTTTTATCCCATGTTTAGAAAAAGTCTAAGGTTGAATAGAGAACGAAAACGATTTCCCCTGTTCCACCTCCAGTAAAAAGCGCTGGGAATGCTAGAGGTGGAATAGAGGAAATCGTTTTCGTTCTCTATTCAACCTTAGACTTTCTCTAGATATTTCATTTTATCGCATTAAAATTGATATGCAAGATGTTTACTTGCCAGGCGTGTATAGGACTTGGACATGAATGCAACAAGTTCCTTATTAGAATCCAGAATGGCTTTGCAGGTGCCTTCCAGCACATTCCGTGTTTAATACCATCTATAGTGAGCTGGCCAATAGTTGTACTCCTTTCAAGAGTTTGAAACACTCGAGCTACTCGCTACGGTGTTCAGTCGTCCCCGATTTGCAGATAAACAGATGCGTGGTGCAACAAACACTTTTCGAAAGGAATAAGCGCGTGAAGCCCTAGAGCTGTTCCGGAGCTCCTCCTAGGTATGGAAGGAATAGAACTATTGGCAGGAATAGGAGAAAACCCTCTATCTAATTTTGCTACATCATCCTCGATAACACACAATTCTGATTGAATAGCACAACTCTTTGGTTGGTTTTGAGCTTTTCCATATCTGCTTCGAATGCGTGAAGTCTTGAGCTCAACCCCGGCAGTGCTTGGAAACAGCACTCCATACAGCTTGGACAAAAATATCTCGGGCAGCGTACTTTCACTATGAGAACTCGAATCTCAGAGCTCCTTACTCCAGAGCAATTTCTGCATAGAACCTTGCGACAAATGTCACATGGCCAAAAAGCTAATTTTTGTCTTCCTTTTGGAAGCAGGCCTTATCACAGGTAGATCCATATCAGGATTGATTATGGTAGGAATAAAATTTAATACAGAATGTTTATTTGGCTTAGGACCGGTTTATTCATCTTCACATAAACTTGCTGGTAACTATCTGCAAGATAAATTTATTATTCTATTGGTTGGCGGATAACTGGCCGACCAATGAGATTGCAAATTTTTGTGCTGCTAATAAGTAATACGATTTATCTTTTTTTTCTATTCCTATTTGAATCCCAGTAATTAAACTGGATTTGTTGGCTCACCAAGAATGAAGTCTAGAAAAAAATTTACAAGGTTGAAAAGATCAAAATTTCACAAACAAAATGACTCCACACACGATCAATATGACCAATAGAGACCCTAAAAAGTTGCAATTTATACGGAGCGAATATACTACTTACTTTGGTGGATCACTTTTTTGGATCTTCAACAAAAGTGAAAAATTTATAAATCAAATTCTAAAAAAAAACAATCTCTCTGTTATCCTTCATGTTACAAAAAAAACGTAGAGACACTTTTTATAGAAAATCAAATTCTCCACAAAAAAGGTTTCTTGAGTTTTCTTGAAAAAACTAATAGAAACTGAGATATTTGACAAAAACAAAAAATCCAATATGGCAGCCATTTTTTTGCAACCTTCCACCCCTAGGACTGAATGGGACTTTTGGGAGGTTAAATAGGAGGTCGGTTACTAAACAATTCCGCTGAAATCAGCTTGTTGCTAATTTGTTGCACCCCCACCTATGTTATGCAGCTACGTATATCCTACTATTATTGGTTTTACCTATGTCAAGGTTTAGTTGAGTTTCATGCCTTATTTATTTCCTTTTCAGAATTATCTATTACCGTTTGCTGATTATTTTTTTTAGGTGTGTTTCTGAATTTTCATACTTCAATATTTTGTGTGATTTAATTACTTATTTTTTTACAAATTCAGTGGCGCCCTTGCCGTTCTGTACTTATTAAAATATTGATCCACCCCCAATAATAATTATTCGCTGAGCAAACTGAGCATATCATGGGCCTCCTTATGAATTGTTAACAAAAGGGATTACAACCATCCGTTTGAATAATCAGAAAAATCATAAATTGAGAACTAAAATAATATAAGTGCATAACTTTCTCCCATATTACTAGATCAAAAAGCAATATGATTCGTGTTGCAAACTATCGAAAATTTCCCGGGAAGAATACAGCACTTTACGCAAGGAGTACAAAGAGATCAAGACGATGTTGTCAGAACAAGTGAAAAAATACAAAAGAGAAACTGAATCGGTGGATGGCAGAAGCAGTAGATCATGCGATGTCGTTAAAGAAATGCGAAATCAACTATTGGAAAGGGAGAGGCAAATGGACCAGATCCAGCAAAAACTCAAAGATTCTGGTTACGAGATAATTGAACTAAAAGATTACGTGCACAAGTTGATAAGCGATAATAATGCATTGAAAAAGGGTATTAATAGTTTAATAGGCAATTTAGAAAGCAAAATTAAAGGTATAGGACCTCACAGCTATTTGTAATTCTTAACTATAAATAATTGTTTATTAAAATAGGAGATCCAAGTCTTGGCAGTTTTCCTTCGAATTCCGCAGAAGCGATCGCAGGAGAAATTTTGCACAGCTTGAGCAACATCGAAGATATAATATCAAAAAACCCGCCCATTTGCCCTAAAGGTTGCGAATCCAAAAATTGCGATTGCATGAACCAAATAACATCCCAATACAGCTTTAAAACGGGTAGGTTGGACTATAATGTTCAATTTCCTATAAAATAAAATATATTTTCAGAAAATCAACAAGGATCCAGCAGAGGGTGCGCTGAAAGCAGATCGACTTACAATGCACCTAAATGTAAAGCCAAAACGGAAATTTTGCATAGGGTTTCTTCAGAACCTGGTAACAGATGTATGCCTGAGCCAAGTAGAGTAACATCGGAAACTAATACAACTGATTCAGATGATCAAAATGCAGATAGAAAGTAAGTAAGTAATAGGCGCGGCTGAGTTTGGCCTAATGGTTAAAATGTACTTATATTATTATAATTTGTCAATTTTGTAGGTCACTGAAATTTTTCAAAGATGCCATAGTTGATCTCAGAACGCGAATACATAAAACTATGAAAGAAAAATGTTGTGACTGTGAGGAAGTTTCTGCATATAGGTAACCCAAAGAAACAAAAAAATGCTCAAGATTATTCAATTAGTTCAAGAAGGCTTGAGCAACAGATCTAGTGTTTTTGTATTTGTGCTCTTTCCAAAATTCATTACATGTATTTGTGTGGGTACCTTCATGTCATCCTGTAATAAATATGAATCCAATAGTATAATGGTCACTTTTATTAGAGTCCAACATCAAAGTCATTACTACTAATTTAAAAAAATCAAGGCTATTATTCCAAATGAACCCTTTGGAGATAATTCTTCAATAATGAAGTCTTGGCCCCCTACAGCTAAAAAAAGATATAGACTAACATGCTTTTATTGTCCAGTTTCATTCTCATTTTTATGACAAAACTAAGCTTTAATACTAATACAATTTTAACCAAACAGGCACGCTACAATAGATATTTTAAAAGAAATTGAGGTATGATTTATAATAATATACTTTTGACAAAGGATAAATAATTTGGTTGCTGGTATCAGTATTTCTGGAAAGATGGATGATTTTTTACAGAATGAATTCAAAGAAGAGGATTTGATATTAGTTCAACGCAAAACAACATGAAAAAAGTACTTAACTAGCTATAACACTAATCAGTAGGTTCCAAAAAAGACTATCAAATTATCTTATATTTGGCACAATATAATTTTTTCTAAAGTTCTCTACTCTACGAGTTAGGACTCTCTTCCACTTTAGAAGTATTGATATTATTGAGAAACTTAGAGGATAGAAGTGAATGTAACTTATTCTTCAAAGTTAAAGAATTAACACTTAGAGTTTTAAGAGATGTTACAGCGCCCTGCAATGTGATCTGCGATTTCAAAAGTTGATGTTCTAAAGCATTGAGATTTTTTCCAGCTTCATCCACAGTGGTTTGAATGAAAGTTTCTATGTTGTTGTATAAGGAAGTGTTCGATTCTCCTGAAAACACAACTGATCAAGCAACTACGAATTAAATAAATGAGACATACGTAATTGTTGTTGAAATAAAGAATCGTGGTCTACATTTGCATTGGCGTCGCTTCCTTCTTCAAGTAATTGCAATGCGGAAACAGCACTTGCAATACTGCCCTCGTTTTCTGAAAAAATAATTTTACTTGAAAATAGGTTTAATTATTAGATATCTTATAACTAACCGTTATCGGATTCAGAATCTTCTCCTAATATGACAGCGCCTTGAATTGATTGGGCCATATCAAACTAGAGAGATAAGTGGAATTAAAATTTTTATTAAACGCACACCATTTCATCTTATTTTTTTAACTTTTCAAGTAACCTAATACTCAACCTATAACCACAGCATAACTATTGGTGACCCGGTCAAACTGATCCACAGTCCCAATATTAATATTGGAATTTGCACTTTTGACGTTGGGATTCTGTGACGAACCAACAGCTATCGTGCGCTGCAGTTTTTCTCAAATTTATTGAATTGTTGGAGTACCGCTATGAAAGTTGTTATAAAAAAATACTAGAAAAAAAGATTCTTTCTCAGGCACTGTGGTACTACTAGGTACGTGTGAGTATTTTTATTGATGGTGTTCATTTTTTTGGGTAGCTACAAATAAAATTGTGGAGGGGGTCTATTTGCAAATGAGAGAAACACCTGCAGTAAGATTTTCATGCATAAACTATATAAAATTAACAGTCTTTCTAAAAATACCTAATCTAAAATTCAAAATTTCCTAACCGTTATGGTCACCTCTCTTTATATCTTCCCTAATTAATCCTAGTCATCCTGAGACTTCACAAACTCATAATTGAATCTTTGCTTCCAATTTCATAAGAGATTTTTTAATTAGATAGAGCAATATAATTTATAAATCATAGTCATTGCAATAAATGGTTAAATACTAAAGACTCAATTTTCCTATGTGCGTACTCACAATTATTTTTCCTTAGTTTAACTAAACTAGGTGGTCTTATAAAATAAATCTTTGGATTACTTAGAGCACGCATCTAATGTAGATTACCGTTTTAAATTTCTCTTGAAATTCTTGATTGGCGACCGTTAACTGATAATACCTTTTGCGATTTATGTGCTTTTCAAATTTTTTACGGTCGAGATTCGATTCTAGAAGCGAAATTAAGCTGGCCCAAGGCAAATTTTCAACTCTGTATTGTCATTGTTTACTGACTCCTATACGTATTATCGAATATCGACTCTTTATCTTCGATGACTGCCATTTTACTACTGTAGCCCTTGCTTTAAATGTCGTTTTGATGATTTATGGGTTCATCTTCAGGTTCTGGAATTTTGTGATTTTTTCGTGTTTATTATTCGAGGGTAGGGAACCTACTTTTTGGGGGCTTTTATAGCTTCGGGCCTTCTCGTTGGCACGGTGGTAATTCAGTTTAGAAACCTGTTGATGGTTTGAGACAAGACTGGTAAATTCTTTAATTACTTATTATTTCAACTTGACCTTTCCAATATTTTTGTGATATGTGAAGTCTTGTTTTCCTGTTCATCATACAGGATGTCCCGGATAAGGATGCACTCTACAGAGATCTCCACAACCATAAGAGATATAGGGTTGGTTAAATCTAGAAAAAGTTGCGCATTATTGAGCTCAGTGGCGTACATGTTTTGATATTTGGGAAATTCCAAAGATATGTAAAGTTTGTTTCGCCAGGGTTTGTACTTGCCACCAGCATTTGCCTTCCTTGTTTAACAAATCAAAATTGACTGAAACAAATCAATGACGTCAAAAACGTTCGTCGGTTCTTAAATCATTTTAATTTGTCAAAAAAATTGAATGTGTCATATGAATTAATCTACGACAACCCTTTTTTTTCAAGTTTCAAGGTCAAGTATGAACCCTGGTGAAACGGACTTTAGGTACATATCTATAAAAAACCGAATTTTGCCAAAATCGTTTTTTTTTTTTTTTTTTGACTTTATTTGAAATGATATCGCAAAATAAATATCACTTCATCCATTTTTTCTCCTTTACAAGATGCTACTTTCAAATTTAAAATCTGACGTTTCGTCTTGGGGACACCATCATCAACTTCAGTTTTTTAAACACGGCGCTTGATTTTATATTTCAGATTTTAAAAGCTTCTGATGTCACAAAACGTATATTATTGGCACTTTCCATAAGAACTTAATGTGTAAGAAAGAGACAGAGAAGAGAATTTTGGTAGGAAATCACTAAAAAGTAGGAAATAGTTATTTTCCTAACAAGTGCGGAAAGTATCATTTTTCCACACGCGATTGGATAACGGGCGCGCTCGACTTTCAATGAGGCTTGCCATCATTTATTCCAGCCATCAAAATCGAGGCAATCCTATATATTATTTGAGAAGACATAATAAAGAATATATCTACCAATTTCCAGCTATTGCAACGATAACATTGTTCCTTCGAAAAAAAGAGGTGTAGTTTACGCCTCGGTTTACGCCCAGCCACCAAAGGCTTTGCGGCCATGAGAATCAAGGCAACCCATCCATTTAATTTAAAGGTAACTATGAGCTATCGTTTTATGAGAAAATTATCCATTGCAACGATCACATACCCGGTAATATTGCTGGCTCTCCTACTATATAGAGAGCTCGAGCACAGAAATCAACTCAGGTTTAACGCGAGAAGACATAGTGGTTCCTTCGAGCAATGAATAAAACCACTGTTTATACCTTAGATTTATACAATGATTCGAGCTAGAGCCTAGAAGTGATCCATTTGGTTTAACAGATATGAGGTTGATTTGATCTTTTCTCCATTTTGCACAGTCAAAATTATAAACAAATTAATGAATGAAATTTAATAAACAATAAAAATTAAATTTGTACAAACAATCAAAAATCAACATAATAAAAACCTCGTCAAGATCAAAACCAATAACATAACCCGTAATTGTCTAGCATGACGAAGATCGACCAATCACTATGGACACTGGAAACTTTCCAATGGAAAGCGGAATAAAACGCGAGCCAAAATTCATCGCTTTCGGTTTGAAATCGGCTTCGTGATCGGAGTCCCCAATTCTTCCCGAAAGGGGTTATAGAATAGCAAACTGAACAAAGCGTCGCATAACGAACGTGACTGTTTCGCTTTGAGCTTATAGAATCCGCCCCCTGGATCTTAATCTAGATGTGGTGGATGTTAACTCGGTGGGTCACAATACTTAAGACCCCATTGTTAACGATAGGTGATAAAAACTAAGACAGGAATCTGCAAACCGTATTCCTTCATCTCAAGTTGTTTAGACTTTATACTCTGTCCAGAGATAAATACCATATAAACTGTCGAGAATGGAATCTCAGTGTAAATTTTGTTGTCAACAAAATTGAGCCAAGCCAGCGCCATCTACCATATCGGAAAATCACTATTTACTGGTTTTGCACCGATGCTACAGACACCTACTTTACATAGGACTTTTTATGATAGATGGCGCCTTGTTTGCATTACTGTCGGTCTGTTCAAATTCGTTTATTCTGGACTTTGGGGCATTAATGTTTGCTTAAATTAATTGATAATTTGTTAATTAGATCAAAAGACAGTTTCTTTATCGATGGTTAAGGGTATCCTTAACATATTTATTCAAAGTTCTGATTGATGTTTAATTGAACCTGTCATTTATCTAATCAACAAAGATAAGAATAGATCTTCCAATCTATAAAGTTTGAAGTTCTTCTCGAAACACTAAAACAACTTAATATTTGAGTTCAAAATTCTTACCCATCCCTACTTATCGATTATCTACATATCTACTCTTTTAGTTCTGTCATGTCATGTATGTCAGTAAGTCAGTTGTACTTGTCATTGTATTAAAAAAAGCAGTCTGTCTGCACAAGTTAAACGGAGCGTTGTGTTTTCTTTTCTGTCCCGTTCCCCACTTTATATAACAATAGGTTATGGGGTCCCAGATCACGTTTTTGTAAAGTTAGTGGAGTCCGGGTTGTTTAGAAAAGTGTTTTTTCTTCGTTGTGCAGTGCGTGGAATAATTATGGCTTCGGGTTATTTGGTAAACGTACCTAAATTAAAAGGGCGCGAAAATTATGATGATTGGGCATTCGCGGCCCAAAATTTTCTGGTTCTTGAATGTCTTGCGAAATATATTGAGACTGAACCTGTGGCTACTGAAGCAGCATCAGTTGCCGATGATCGAAAAACGAAAGCCAAACTTATTCTCACAATAGACCCTACTCTATACGTGCACATAAAAGAGGCCAGGACCGCGAAATCGCTTTGGGACAAATTAAAGAGTATGTTCGATGATTGTGGCTTTTCGCGACGAATAAGCTTACTTCGACATTTAATTTCAACGCGATTGGATACGTGTGACTCTATGGCGGCTTATGTGAACCAGATAATAGAGACAAGTCAGAGACTTCGTGGCACCGGTTTTGCTATAGATGACGAGTGGGTCGGTTCCCTACTTTTAGCAGGATTGCCGGATAAATTTATGCCAATGATTATGGCCATCGAGCATTCGGGGATAGCCATAACCACTGACACTATTAAATCAAAGCTTTTGGACATGGAACACGATGATGTGAAAGGCGGTAGTGCATTTTATACCAAAAACTATCGATCGAACAATTCGATAAATCGTGGTGGCAGCACTAGTAGCAACAGTCGTGACGTTGGCAATGGTTGGGTTGCTGGCGGCAACACGCATCCGGCCCAAGATCAAAAAAAGAAGAGTGACATAACCTGTTATCGATGTAAACAAAAGGGTCATTTTCGCAATAAATGTCCTTTGTTTTTGAATGAAAATAATGGCAGAAACCAGCACAATAAGTCGGAAAACGCGTTTAATGTTGTGTTTTTAAGCGGCGATTTCAATAAATCAGACTGGTATATTGATTCTGGTGCCAGTTCTCATCTAGTGGTTGATGAATCTCTTTTAGTTAGTGCCTCAAGAAAAACTGTTTTTCCTTCGAGTATCATGGTGGCAAACAATTCAAAGATTCCCATTGTTGGTTTGGGGGATGTTCATATTAAAACAGCTGTTGGTAATGATGTCTTTGATATTACGGTAAAGGATGTTTTGTGCTGTCCACAGCTGTCTACAAATCATTTGTCCGTAAGTGCCCTGATCAAGAACGGAAACCAGGTATGTTTTGAAAATGACTTTTGCAAAATTTTCAATAAATTCAATGACTTAATAGCTATTGCTGAACTTTTCAATGGCGTTTATAAACTCAAAACTTTTGATGAACTGTGTTTTTTGACTGTAAATAGTGTAAATAGC